TGAGAAGCAGGATGAAGAAGCTAGAATAGGATTTTTTTTTTCTGGCAAGGATGCATGAAGGAAACCATAAACATAAAAGGGAAGTCAGCCTCCTGCTCCTCAGGGTCCTGGTGCTCCCCCTTTTCATCTTCCTTCTCTGTCTCTCTGTCTCTTTTTACCCTTCCTTTCCTCCCAAACCTAGGCTCAAGGACAGAATATGACCTTGGATGAGCTAAGGTGCAAAATATCTCCTTGATGTTCAGCCCTTCTTTAAGTCTCAGCAAGTATTTTTACAATGCCTGTCTCAACAGAGACCCAAAGGCCATAGCCATGTGTCAAGCAGAAAGAGGCAACAAAGCACATGCTATTCAGCTTGTGAAGAGGGTGTGCCTAACCAAGAAGCTTAACCTACATGTGATCCCTCAGAGTAATGCATTAATGCCTTCCCTCCTCCCCTTCTAAAACAGCCTCTTTTGCAACTAGGATGTTCCCCTGTTGTCTGATGTGGCCAGTTACTTATGTCTATCTATGGATTTCATTCTTCACATGCATGATGATAAATGGGTGTGAACTATAGGAGGACTGACAGATATGAAACATTTGTGGTTAGGCAGGAACTCCCAGAAAGAGCATAACATGAAAACTTTTGAGGAAACCAAGCACTTTGTCAGTGCAACCAATATGCATTTATTAATGTCTTTGTGACGGTACAGCAAGTCCAATAAAGCTGGGTTCATATTAAGTTCACATTGTTAACTTTTTTTTACAACTTATAATGGCTTGGCTCAAATAAAATGCTTAGCCATTATGCGAAAGTTCATTTATCACACTAAGCAAAAGGCCCTCTTATGGATGCAGACTTGTTATGTATAGATCAGGAAATTGGCAAACTAAACTCACTACTGAATAATACAAGAAAGGGCAATGAAGTGGAAAGGGTGCAAAACATAGCATCTGGCCAATCAGATGACCTAGGGAACTAAACAGAGCTGGCTCAGGTTACCATTCAGATGGGAATCTGTTTGGAAAGACCAGGACTGCAGGTTAGACTAGGAAGTTGAAAAGCTACCCTGAAAGAAGCCATTGACTGAGACAAACTACTAGAAACCTGTGTCCAAGTAAGGCAATTTTACTTATACTGTATTAGTTCAATAGTTATCATTTCCTCATTTTGTATCATTGTTCACAGATGACACATTTCAGCTGAAAAAAATAAGCTTTGGGTTCTTTGAAATGGTTACATGAGGACTAATTTAGATCTTATATGTAATTTTTGTAATATTCCCCGGAAAGTGTAAAAGTATTTGTAATCCAGCTATACTTATAACAAGCCAAAAATGAGCACCATATCTCCAGTTTAGATAGCCTAAATTCACAATAAAAAAAAAAGTCAGGACAGTGACCAGTGCTTTTCAAAGTTGGCAACTTTCAGATGTGTGAACTTCAACTCTCAGAATTTCCTGGCTGGGGAATTCTGTCAGTTGAAGTCCACATATCTTAAAGTTCCTGATACTGAAAAACTCTTGCTACACATCATAAGGAAATCAAAAGAATATTTGTAGTAGCTCTTCCAAAACATGTATGCTTCAATGTAATTGGAAATGTATAGCCACAAGAAATCTTAAATACACTCTTAATAATACTACATTTAATACTACATTTAAAAAAGACATTATCCATGAGAGTTTGCTAAGGTTTATTTTGTAAATACCTATTGCCATATGAACCCTTGAGATTATCCTGTTTTGCAGTCTCCGTACTATGCAATGAATAATTTTAGAACAGTCATCTGGTTGTAGCCTTTAGGAGTAAAATGAAGGAACTTTCATAAAATGAACCATGCTCTCCAAATTGTCCCAGTGTTACGCAAATCACAAACCTATAGTATTTTTCTTTAATGGATCACAAGAAAAAGGCATCACAAAAATAATTGTTGCAAACACTCTTTGCTTTGTATGATTCCAATTATGGTATCAGTTCATCACAAAAATTGATGATGGACCAGCAGTAATCCTCTTTGTTGCCATCTTACAGGTTTGTTGATGAGAATTGAATGAATGACTCTATAAATTAATGAATGATTCAATAATCAAAATGTTAGAAAGCAATTAAGGTGTTGTTCAGAAGTTTATAGTTAATACAATATCAGTATTTGTCAGTATTCAAATGATAACCTTAACCAAAACTTAGTAATTATATTTGTACAACATATTGAGACTAGCTACATTTTTCTCATGGGTTTGGGCTCTTCCTCATTTTCTCCTGATTATGGCAGATACATGGTATCTTGGTAACTGTTTTTTAATGCCATATCATCATATTATCTTTATCTTATACTCACCACAAGCTACACTGGCATCTCTCCAGTTAGAGTCATGTTTAGCTGCTCCAGATTTAAAACAGTATTTTCCTCTTTTCCCAATACAGTTTTTTTCATAGATACGTTCTGACACAGATATGTTCTGCTTCAGATATGCTCCTTCCCATCTAGTTCCTGGGATATCCCTTCCATAACCAGGTTGTCTTGGATTATAAAAGAGAATGGACAATGTGTCAGGTTTCGGGGCTATCTTAAATAAACTTCATTCTCAAGCGCTTATCAATGCTTATCTAGCATTTTTCTAAGAGTTTGCAAGTTCTGAATTGGCTCTTATAAATATAGGTTTAGTGGTCTTTTTCAAACAAGCTAGACCCAATCTGTATAAGTTGATTTAAACTAGGAAAAAGAGCCATATTCTGCCAGCTATGTTTTGTTCATTTTGTTACTGTTGCATCAATTTCAGCTTTCCATTGTTTTTGCCAAAGAGAAATTGTACACAACTATACTGTTTTTATTATTTGGGGGATAGATTTTGCTTTATCTATATGGTTTTTGGCGGGGCTAGATGTGATAATTTTTGTAATTACTACATGCAGGTCAGTCACTATTCTGTATGCCATATAGTTATCTAATGGTTTCCCCCCCCCTGGATGCTGCTAGCAATGAAGTCAGAACTGAACTCTTTGGTTACTCACTGCCAGAAGCACTAGTTGAGAACAGAGCTTGTTCATTTTCATTGCCTCCTGCTTCATTCGGGGTTCCGCTTTTGTGCTCTTACACTATTTTTATATGAGTTTAGCACTCTTTCAGAAGTGTGCTAGATCCATGTTTAGCTTGACTAGTAGGTCACACATGAAGAGATGAGTTTGAACTGAACAGGTTCACTTGGGGTGCACAGCCTGCTTCACCATATTCATTTCTCCACATCAGTCTTGTAGGTCAAACACTCGACAGCTGGCTAAATGTATTGTTCTAAGCACTCACTTACATATGCCTCACCCTGCTCCACTTTACATTAAGATTAAATCAGTACAAGGGTGGATGCATCATGTCAGTTATGCACTATTTATGACAAAATTAGCACCTCTAGTTGAAAAAAAACCTTTTATGAGTCCCATTGCCAGTCACTCTTGGCAGTTTGGAATCTAGATAATCTCTTGGCCTGATTCTGCCTTTATTCCTAATTTAGAACATGTTTATGTCACTATCAATTAATTATTTCAGAAAGCATAGGAAATTGTACTGAATGCTTTTGCTTCATATTTTAAAATGGAAAATTCTAATTTATAGCTTCATTAACAATAATATTTTGAATAACTGTTTAGGATTATCAGATCATCCTACTGTACATTTTCCTTTATCGAATGAAGGAATTTAGCAAATGCGAGTTTGTGCATACAGGCTAACAATGGCACCAGGAAAAAGATTTGTAATTTATTTTCTCTAGTTCTCAATGGAGGGAGTATTGTTGAGGAGGTGATATTCATTCTATGTGCCCATATTCAGCAGTAGAATCAATGTTCAAGCCTTTCCTCTTTTATAAACTTAGAACCTTCTCCTTGGAGTTAAATATACTGACTGAATTTTTTTTTTATAGCCATATTCACAAAGCACTTTTTTCCCTAGCCCCCACATATTCCATTTGTAAATTCATTTACAATCCTTAAATGCACTGTATTTATCCAAGCGTACTTTGTAATAGTGTAAAAAGAGCATAAACAATTACATTTGTCTGAGACAAAGATGCCAGTAAAATACATAGACATGGTGGCAATGCCTTTATTAGAGTCAAAAAAAGGTTTTACTAGAAAATAATAGTGGCATCTTATTTGGTTATTTATGTACTTTTTTTTTCATAGGCCCAAATAAATACATTGTGCTGGGCAGAGGTTTTGGCTATGTTCAGTTAACATGTTGCCAGCTGTTTTGCACAACTTAAGTGTATTGTGGGACCCAGCAAATGGATTATTCATGTCCATCCAGATTAAAAGAACTGTATGATGTATGTAAATGAATAAAATTAGAAATAAAGAGACGATAAAGATAATGATAATAAAGGATGGAAAAAATGGGGAATGTATAAAGTAAGAGAAACAAAACTGACATGTTAAAAGAAACACATATTATGTGTTTGTGTTATGTATGTTGTGTGTTGTTGTTGTAAAATCAATATTTTTTTAAAAAAAATAAAAGAACTGTATGAATATAAACAATCTTTGTGGACCTTTTGGGTGTTCAACCTTTGAGTGAAGGTTCTCTCACATTGAGTGAAGAGGAATTATCTTGTGCCAAATATATAGTTAATGTATACAAATCACATAATAATATTCTAAGTTTCTGATCTTGCGGAGCCACATTATTAGCTGTCCAAGGCTGCCCGAAGCCCATGGGCCAAGGGTTAGACACGCCGGGTGGAAGGGTCAGATAAAAGTGTTCCCCTTCTACAGATTCAATAAGACAACTCAGCCTTAAAATGGAGGTGGATCCCCAACAGCATCAGTGTCACCGCCAGCGATTCGGAGATAACACTGTCCCCAAAGAGCTGGAAAATATCAGGGTGGGCCAATGTCTGGGAAGGGGCGTCCACGGCTAATCCAATTTTGGAGCAAGGACACGTGAGCTGGGTGCATATGTGTGCGTAGACACGAGTGCTTAAACCGCGCCTCCCCCCCACCGCCCCCCCTCCCACCACACACACAACGCCAGTAAGGCGTGAAAGAGACGACACGCGGAAGGGATTGGATTACATTGTCATGATGATGATGATTATTTTTTTTTTAAATAATTCATCGGCGAAGTAAATCCAAAAGCTGGCGTAGCCGAGGTTCCCTCCCCACCGCATCTCTCTTCCTTCCTCTTAACAATTGGGATTGATGGACTCATTTTCGCTTATTCGGTAAAGAGAAAGCAACGGGGGGTTGGTGGAGGGGGGGGGCGGAGAAAAAGAGAGGAAGAACGCGTCGCTGCCCTTTTTTTTTTTTTTTTTGTGCTTCCTTTCCTGCCATAGCAGAAAACGAGGGAGGTGCAAGGAGAGTGATCACTTTAAGACCCAGAGGTTTTTTTTCCCCCTCTCCTCTTTCTCTTCATTTCCCCTCTTCTGCTCTCTCTCTCTTCCCCCCTCCACATTTTTTTTTTTTTTTTAAGGAGCGACAGGCTGTGGCGTTTGCAGAAGGGTTTGGTCTCCGTCATCGCGCTGCAAAAGCGAGCGAGCGAAAGCGACAAGGAGGGAGAGGAGGAGGAGGAGGAGGCGGGGGGGGGAGAGAGATGAAGGGGAGGTGTAACACATCCGACGAGCCGGCTGCAATGGGCCTCAGCTAATCCAGACCCTCCGGAGGATCTGCCTTCCCGCTGCCACCGCCGTGGGTCAGAAGCTCCTTGGATTCGGTTCTCCTCGCTGCTGCTGCCGCCGCCGCCGCCGCCGATTGACCACATTTTTTCCTTTGACACACAATGAGCGCCGCCTGGTAGAGAAGAAGCGGCGTGCCGTGCCGCCTTGCCCCTTTCGGGTTCTCGCGATGTGATTCTATTGCGGCTGCTGGAGGTGAAGGAGGAAGAGGAGGCAGCGTGGCCCGGGGGGGTGGGGTGGAGGAAGCCTGAGGCTATGTGGTGTCAGCGACACCAGAAGATTTGGTGAACCATGATGAAGACTGAGTCTCATAATACTCCTGGCGGCAGTGGCACCAGCGGCAGTGGGGGCAGCACCACCGGCGGCAATGGGGCTGGAGGCAGCCTGAGGAGTGCCTCACCTCACCGGAACGCCTACGAAGCTGGCATCCAAGCTTTGAAAGCCTCCAAAGATGCCCTGGGCCAACCTGACAGTGAGGAGGCCAAAAAAGCCAGGAACAAGAAATATGGGTCCAATGTCCATCGGATCAAAAATATGTTCCTGCAAATGGGCACTGCGCCTCCACCAGGGGAGGGAGCAGTTGATCTGGCCAAGATGAAGGAGAAGCCGGTCCGGTTGTCCTTGCCCCGGGCCAGCAGTCTGAATGAGAATGTAGACCATAGTGCGTTGTTGAAACTGGGCACCAGCGTATCCGAGAGGGTGAGCCGGTTTGACTCTAAAACAGATAAGCCATTGTCCAAGCTCCAGGAGACACGGAAGATCTTCGAGAGGAGTCTCCAGGAGAAGGAGACCACCAACAAACTGCTTCTGAGGAAAGAGAGAGCTGGCTTCCAAGACCGGAAGTTGGATGTGGTGGTGAGGTTCAACGGCAGCACAGAATCCCTGGACAAGCTAGACACAGAGGCTGTGTCTCCTACTGTAAGCCAACTCAGTGCTGTCTTTGAGAAAGCTGACCTGAGGAATAACCTCCATAAAGCCCCTGGAAAAGTTGGGCCTCTCAACTCCAAAATTGTTAGCAAAAGGTCCAGGGTTTTCCTCCAGGCTCCAGAAGGAGGTGCCAAGGTGGAAACCAGGAATAGTGATGGGCCTGCGCTCCAAGTGAGAGCAAGGTTGCCTGAGACTGACAAAACCCAAAACAAGCTGGTGCCCAGTGGGTCAGTAGCAGCAAAGCCAGGAGATAAGGACTCCAACATGGGGCTACGTCCTCAGAAGGTCCAAGAAGTGCGCAAGATCAAGCCTGTGGAAGTGGAAGAGAGTGGAGACTCTGAACAGGAGTTTGAGGCAGCTGAGGTGGCAGTGGCAGCAGCAGCAGTGGCAGATGAGAACAGCAAGGCCTCTAAGGGGTCTGACCTTCTCAGGGCAGAGGTGATTCAGGCTGAGGTCACAGTGCATGCGGCCTTGGAAAATGGCCAGCTGGGTGGTGAAAGATACCTAGAAACTCCAGGCCCATTGGCAGACACTTACTGTGAGGAGGTGGCCAAGGCTGAGGGACCAGAGGAAAATGACCTAGGTGATGAGTCTAAGAAGGAGGACTTCTCTGAGGCTGACCTGGTGGACATTAGTGCCTACAGTGGACTGGGGGAGGATTCAGGAGGGAGTGGGCTGGATGAAGACGAGGATGGTGATGGACTGTATGCACCGGAATCTAGCTGTGTCGAGATCCCTGGGCTGTCAGAAGAGGATGAGGCTGTCCCTAATCGCAAGATCCACTTCAGCACAGCCCCAATACAGGTAGGCCTTTGAATCTAGTATTTATTGTGACTATAAAAGACGCCTGGATTCTGGGAAGTCTGGTGGTCCTTGGACATGGTTGTTATTATCAACATGAAAGATCCAAGGATCTGCTCTGGGGCCTAGTTTTCACAAAATAGCAATTGAGACTAAAAACCTATGTTCTGACCACTGTAAACCTGTTCAAGATTTCTAAGTAAGGATAATTGGGAAGACTTCTTTTTCATATAGAATTGCTATTCATTCATTAAATACAGTTCTCTGTATGTAAGGAACTAGCCTATCCAGAAGACATTTTAAAACCACAGATTCTCCCTGGTGCACTCTAGATGGGGAAGTTTGTGCAAGGGAGATTTTGCAGGGAGTATCCTTCAGATGTGCAAATCTCCATCTTCCATCTGAAATAGCTCCCAAGTTATAGGTTTACGTCTTAATTTTGGGAAGGCCTCCATCTCTTAGGTAAAGAGGACTCTTTCACCTGACCCTCACTGATGCCTATTCTTGCAAGGCCTTGATTTTTCAATGCTTAAAACAAATGTCCCCTTAATTCATTAAAACCTGTTAGGAAAGTGTTTATATTGGCTTTTGTTTCTACATTTAAATTTTGAAGAGGGAATGTAGTAAAACTCTTCTATCTTAGAGGTAATGGAACAGGGATACTTTTGATAGGATTAGCCTTTCACTTGAGTTCATTGAATTAGTGAATTGCCTTTGTAGGTTATATATCAACAAAGGTGATTTTAGAAAAATTGTACCAATGTCATGATTGAAAGTGCCATCATGGATCTCACCAATGTTTTTCCCCCTCTGTTTTATGTGCAAAAACCAGGAATAGGAGAAGCAGGGAAGGGATGGTGACTTCAAACAGCATTTTCTTGTTTGACAATCCAACAGATTTAGAGATGCTGAAGAGACTTGATTTTACAAAGGAGAATGGGAAGACAAATACAGTTCTTCATCTTCTTTTTTTTGCAAAGCATGGCTTTTATGAAACATTAAAGTAGGGAAGGTATATAAATGGACCCGTTTGCAGCAAGCTGCTGGTAGTAAGAATAACACATTTGATGTGAAATCTCAGTTTCTCACATTTCATCTACTGAGTTGGGGCTGTGCATTTCCCTCCCTCTCTCCCTCTCCTGCTTTTTCTCCCCTCCCCTCTCTCTCTCAGATTAAGTCACTGACACAAATCAAGGAACATGCACCATTGCAATCTGTTTATCCCCCCTCCCTTCCCCTTTGGACTCTTTGATTAGCTACGTTCCCACCCCATGCCAAACAAATTGGAAGAATAAAAGGCATACCAGGCATAATTTCCCAGATTGAACTGGGTTTCATTTGACACATTTTGCCAAGGTAGATCACAGATGGGTGGGCTTTTGCTTTTACACAGGAAAAGGCAGTTGAATTGAGAGAAAAATGGACTCCCATCCAGATAAAAAATAGTACATGCAGGGATATAATTTACGATGAAATCTAAGATGAGATTGCTCAGGTTTATACATGCAGGAGGCCATAATAAGGTTTGTTTGGTTTCAGCTCAGTATGATGAACTGAGTGACTGTAATTTGTAAATCATGATTTACAATTTGTAATCCCAGGTTAATGCAATACAAATGTCTACAACATGTAGTGCCCAAATAAACTATGCTGGCTCATTGTGGATGGTCTAACTCATATAATATACTAAAATGATGTTTGGGTTCCCAAAACATGCTGAAATACCAGTTACCCAACATCATATTGGCCTAGTCTAGCATATTATGTGAATCCAGTAACAAATCAAAATGTAATTTATTAATCCAGACACTATGTGAACTAGGGTATTATGGCACCATTATTAAAACATGCCATAGGTTAGCACAATCTGAACAATATATATAGAAGCCATAGATAAGAATCTGGGAGTTGTGAGTTGTTTCTGCAAGTTAGAAATGGGCATGGATAAGTACTTCACTTATCAAAGGTAACTTGCCTCTTGTCAGTATAAGCTTAGATGCACCCTGAAAAAGTCATAAATGGTGGCATAAATATTGGATCTTTGGAAGATGGTTTGTTGTTTATTGTTTGGTGAATGTCATGGAAGAAGGGACATTTCTGACAGGCAAGCTTTTGTGAACAATAAATCCATTCAAGTTTCCAGGGGATTCAGAACAACAAAAATGGATTCCATATGTGAGCCTATTAGTCAAGAAGGTTGAGCAGTTGTAGTTCAACACGTTTGAACAATAAAAGCTGGCCACTGTGATCTTTAGTTTCAGAATACATCTTTCTTGGCACCCATTCACAGCTCCAATAACTTACATTAAATTACATATAATTTTTAAAGTAAGATTTTTTTTAAAAAAATGGAAAGTTGGCATACTGCAAAGCAAAGAAAGTATCCTTATCCAACATCAGTATAATCTTAATTTCAAAAATGTATCTAGATTTTATAAGGGTTTGATGTATTTCATTACTTAGGGATATATCTCCTTGTATACAAAAAATGAAATCGGGCATAGGTGGGAGCATTTTGCATGAGGTGGGTAGAGAGATGGTAAGTAACATGCATGTAAATCAGTGCTTTATAACTGGTTATGTTCTTCCGTTACAGCCATTTTGTGAATGGACAAGTATTCCAAACAGCACAAAACTTTTAGCGACCTTTGCTGTAGAAAACTGAGGACTGCCATCACCAGGTTGCTTGATGATGTGTGTTCTTTCTGTAGTGACTCTGGAAGGTTGTGACGTTAAGCATGTAAAATATTGGAGGTTGGAAAGAATTTTTCCAAATTATATTAAGAGACCCTACATTAGAAGTTTTATTTGTTTGTGCTATCACAAGTTTGCAAAATACTAGTTTGTAAAATTAGTTCGTAATACTAGTTCGTAATACTAGTTCGTAAAAAAGAAAATTAAAGGGAGATACGGAGCAGTTTATAAATATTTGAAAGACATTCACATCCAGGTAGAAATTGCCCAATTCTTTACTGAAACTGAGAATAAAATAGAGACCAACAGACCAAAATTAAAGAGTTCAGACTGGGTATTAGGAAGAATTTCCTCATGATTAAAGCTGTTAAAGAAGTGAAACAGCCTATCTTGAATAATGATGGTCTCCTGTCATTGCCCATTGGAGGTTCTTAAGCTGGAGCTAGATGGCCACCAATTTAGTAGACTTCAACTCTTATATCCCACAGTTCTATGAGCATTTCTCTTAGGCGAGTATCTTGGATTGTCAAATATGCTGGTCCTTGATCCACTCTTGCTGTATAGCAATAGCACTTAGACCAGTGATGGTGAACCTTTTTGGCACCGAGTGCGCAAACCAGAATATACGTGTGCACATGCGTGTGCCAGAAACCCAAAGACCAGCTGGCCAGCGCACATGCATGCACCAGCCATCTAATCTTCGGGTTTCTGATGCATACTGGCCATCTGATCTTCAGGTTTCCAGCACTCCGACCCATGCAAAGACCAGCTAGCTGGCGTGCAAATACACACCGGAAATCTGAAGACCAGCTGGCAATGGTGCACGTGCCCACAGAGAGGGCTCTGTGTGCCACCTCTGGCACGTATGCCATAGTTCACCATCACAGACTTAGACTTATATACCACTTTACAGTGCTTTACAGGCCTCTTTAAGCAGTTTACAGAGCCGGCATATTGCCCCCAACAATCTAGGTCCTCATTTTACCCACCTCGGAAGGATGGAAGGCTGAGTTAACCTTGAGCCTGGTGAGATTTGAACTGCCAAATTGCAGGCAGCCGACAGTCAGCAGAAGTAGCCTGCAGTACTGCACTCTAACCACTGCACCACCGTGGCTCATATTCATGCAGGTCGGTCTGTTTATGGATGGACTTTGCTACATGGAGAAGTCTAGCTCAGAAAAAAAGTATGTGATCCCAAACTCTTAGAATGCTAGCATGTTCTTTGTTCTGTTCTGTGCTCATCCAAACACTTGATGATGTTAGAATGTTTCTGCCATGCAGCTAAATGTGAGCATAAGGAGAATTTGAGGACAAGGTTAGTAGTTGTCCTATCTCTCACATATTCAGTCAGTGTGTATTCTGCCTTCTATTTGTTTCAATAGCATTGGGGAGGGTGATGCAACCATCTCAACTGGCAGATTGTTGTAGGTGGCAGCAAGTTATCAGAGCAGAAAGCAGTGTTCAAGCACACATCCTTCAGGTATATTGGAAAACATTGTTCCATCCCACTCTTCCTTTTCATTCTAGGTAAAGCGGTCAGGGGTATTTGCCAATCTCCATTACATATGACCCAAATCCTATGGAACTGAATCGTGATATGTGAAATCAAAGGCCAGCCCTATAATAAGAGTGGCAGCCTTTCATGCTCCATTTGCCAGCTACTGTCTAACATTTAGCATCAATTCTAGGTTACAAGGACAGACCCTAGGGGAAGAGGACTCACTGACTATTGCTCCCTTTCACCTTTCCTTCACTTGCCATTTACTTTAAATCGGAGGTTAGCATATAGTGTATATAAAGAACTATGTAATCTCACCCAAGATATAGTTTAATTCGGACAATCTGCATGGAGTAGAATTTAGAGTGCAGTACAAGAATATAAAAAAAATGCCGTTGATTCAGAACAAATCATGCATAGCCCCTTGTTTACCATAGTGACTGCCCAGAGCTGGGGTGTCAAACTCAAGGCCTGGGGGCCGGATCTGCCCCATGGGGTGCTTAGATCTGGCCCGTGGGGCCGGCCTGGAAACAGCAAAGGATTGACATGCGATACCTCTGCTAGTGAAAATGGAGCTCGGGTGGGCCATGCATTTTTGCTGGCAGAGGACCATCAAAACAAACTAAAAATGAAACAAAAGGAGAAATGTCTCCTCTTTTGCATTTGATCATCCAAGAAGGGACAGGAAAGGGAAAGAGGAAAGAAAAAGAAAAAGAAGGGAAGGAAAGATGGGAAGAGAGCAAGGAAGGAAAAAGAAGGAAAGAGGGGAAGGAAGAAGAAAAGAGAATGAAGACGGAAGGAAAAAGAAGAA